AAAGGGTGTCGGCTTTGTTCGGTTATCCGAAAGTGAACAGCAAATTTTCCGTCAAGGGACTCGCCGGTGACAGGGCGGCAGAAGAAGGACCGTCAGACGAAGGACCTGGCAGAGATGCAAGCGATAAGAAAGGTAATAACTTTTAAAATCGCTTTCGGCTACCCCCAAAAATTGCGATAGTAGGCAAGAGCGGGGCAACGGGAGCGGCAAAGTTCTTCTTTTGGGAAATCATCATCCCATTATGCTCAAGCTAGATTAGATAACTGCCGTGTAATATTCCCCGTCTCTAATATGGGCTCGAAACGGAAGCAATGGAAAATGACTAATGGACCAAATTTCCCCTCGCCCCTAACCAGGCACAGAACCGCTGGTATCCATTGCATTTATATGGAATGTGCGAAATAATATTGAGTATTCTGTACAGATAATAAAGTATTAGATAAATTTGTACATATATGTGTATGTGTGTATTCGTTTGGAGGTATACGAATAGGGGATCTACTATACCCGACAATATTCGATTCTCAAATTTTCATAGCATACTTTTTAGGGCAAACTATGTATGGATTAAAATAAGTGATCCCACGAGAACAGATGAGGAGCCTGACACTTTGCTCCAGACTCCATGGCATGCTCTGGCCTCGCAGAGAACAGAAGGAATTTATTTATGTACATAAATGACTAGCATCTAGAGCAGAGCCGATCTACAGTGTCCGTCCGTCTTTCTATAAGGACGCACTCTGTGCACTCTCTATAGTGATGTTTATTTGTTATCGGCTTGGATAGTTGCAATTAGCTGGTTTTCATCTTAATGTAAGAAGAAAAAAACCCACGCACATCTGAGTATCGGGTATCTTCCAGTCGACACTTCGAGTGCGGCGTTCTCAGATATTTTCTTTTTCATTGTTGCCAGAAATCTCAGTCTCAGCACGGGGCTTGTCACCGTCACCGTCACCATCTCCATCTCCATCCCCATCCCCTTTCCCCTTTCCTTTTTTCGGCGCAAGTCGCACAATTGCTGGAGAGTCAGCTTAGTGCCAAGCAGTCTCCAAACAACAGTTATAGCTATAACAGCAGCAGCCAATGCGAGAGCACGAGAGCACTTTGCACACAACAAAAAAGTCCACAAACAATAGCAACAACTAAATCAACACTAAAAGAGAGCACAAGAGCTGCAAAAGTAAAAACAACACCACCAACAACAAGAGCTAAAGTCAAGCACACAGCAACAAAAACAACGAGAGAAAACAAAGGGACAGCAGCAGCAACAGCAACAGCGACAGAGCAACAGCAGCAGAGAGTGGGAGAGCGAGTGAACGGGAGAGGGCAGAGGAGAGAGGGCAGACAGCAAGCAGTAGCGGGACTGCAACTGAGGCCATACTAAATACAACAAAAAACAATAGCGCAAAGGAAAAGAGATATAAAACTAAAAACAAGACGAAAGGGCTAGCTTCGGGTCCGAAGGTTTTGATACCCTTACAAGTGAATTGTTCTTTTGCTTAGCTACATGGCACATTATGTCGATGCTTCGATCCTCCCAATAGAAGCCCCAATTTCCTCCCAAGCATGCATTAAATGGAGCAAAAGGAATGGCAAATACACTGGCTATTCAGGCTAAGAACTGAATAGCACCTGGGATCTGCATCTGCTGAAATCATCATACCCTCTGCTAGGGTATACCTACGTTAGAGTTAAGCTCTAACAAAGGCACATCCTGCGGTGAGAGAGAGAAAGAGACAGTGCACGTGGGGGAGCAGCTAAAAGCGAGCTGCTAAACGCTCGTAAAGCTTTCAATTAAAATTAATAAAAATTTACGCGAATTAAATAAACACAGACCAGCACATGCCAGCACATACGAGCAGAGCAACCAGGTCAGGACGGGTCAGAGACCAGGCTGAAGACGGGTCAGAGGCCAGGCCAGGTGAAGGCGAGTAAAAAAAAAACAAAATCGTATGAAACCTGTAAATACCCTAGAAGGATCAAACGAAGCTTGGTACAAACAAATCCCCTGATAGATTCGATCTATTCCAATCAGAGATGTTACGCGAATTAGCCATAGTACTGTAAGCTATAGTACGTTCAGATACCAGCCTTTTCAAAATACAGATTGGTTTACGGAATGACAACACGCACGTTCTCGGCTGTGAAGCAGCGAATCAATGCATATGGTTCTCTCGTTATGCACGCTCTCGCTTTGAACCAGCGAATCAATGCTATGGTTCTCTCGCTACGATCAGTTACCGTTTGGTTTCAGTATTCACTAGTCGCTACTAGTGGTATCCCTTCTCGGTTACACTTAAAACATCTACAAATCGGTTCTGTTGTTAAGCTTAACGTTATCCTTCAGCATAGTCTGTCCATTGGTCGGCTATGAGGGGGAATCTTCAATGCATACTTTTCACATGGGGAGCTAACCTATCTATAAGACCTTCCAAAAAGTATCTATACTAATCGATTAGGTTGAAGCCATGAAGGTGCATCACAATGCTTGCTTGGACGTTGAATTGATTTCATAATGATTTCATTATGTACTTGCGTCGCACAATTCTCTTCTAGTGCTGACAGCCTCGGCAACGGAATAAGAGGGAAGCACCGATATCCGATTCCGGATAATTTTTACGTTTAACCGGAAATTCACATTTGGGATGTGGCATGGGTCAGTCGCCGTCATTCGCCGCCTGTTCGCACACGCACTCGCACTCGCACACATCGTAGCCCCACGCCCCCCTACCGGTTTATGTAGCTGTCTGTTGCGGTCCGGGGAGTGCATGGCATATAAACACTGAGTGGAGGTGGAACCAGGAGCTGCCTGGAACTGTCCACTGGATTAAATAAATTGAATTGCTTGGCAACACATGGCCCCGGCCATTTAGCAGGAAGCCGGAGCTGAAGCGGCACGGAGCGTGATAGTGATAAGGATAGTCCCCCAAGTCGAGGGAGTTGGAGAACTAAATAAAGGGGGAGGCGAAAGGAGACAGCACCGACCAGCAAGGGGCACAGCCCACTTGAGCCTGCCAATCGGAAAACGCCCAAAACGGAGAAGTGATTCTTTTCCGTTCCCCATCCTATTCGGGTTCTGTTAGTTCTTATAGATTCATGAAGCTCCTCCATCGATGGTAAACAAGTTGAGAGGCCCTTGCACTAATCAGACACTTATGTCGGATTTGGGACCGCACTGGCAATGGCACTAGCACTGACACTGGTAGGGGTGTCCTGCCTCCTTTGTACACCCGTGCATACACACATACATAGGTACATAAACTCGTATCGGAAGCAAGAAGCAAAAAGAATGAGCAGGACAACAAAGGAAGGCAAATTATTTTTCTTATTCGAATGTTTACGGTTCGCATTCAAATTTTGTTTTATTGACTGTCTATGGCACATATTGTATACCCAACACATGAACATATGTATGAACGTCTGTATGCCCGATACATACATATCAAATATAGAGTTACATTTGTACATATCTATCTGGTAAGAGCATGTATGTACATATGTTGTGGATGTTGTGGATATACTCCTGTGTGTATTTTTTGCAAATGTGGAGTAATAGTCCTGATGGTCCAAGTGGAATTTTTGTCTTTTTTATGATTCATGAATGCTCTTTGCTGGTGTCCTCGGACCAATGAACTGTTATCAAATTTCTGGCATAGCTTGAGCATCAATTTGGACTTGTTGCCATCGAGTGGCCATTGTGTGGCCTTCCAGAGTGTGCTCGCCATCGATTGAAAATAGACAAATATCCAGTCAACAATCATGGCTTTAATACACACCATACGAGCGTCTTCGTGTTATAAAAATCATTTACAAACAGTTAAGTATTTTTGATCAGTGATCTCCAATCATTATTCGTTCTCAGTGATACCAGTATTTCGTATTTCGACAGCTCCAGCTGTCTCTAAACGTCACAAGATAAGGTTTTTTTTTTTTTTTTTTTCCACAATTACTCAAAATAAATATTTTTTGATCCTGCATCGATTATGCTTGTAATCCCCATTAGTCGAGTTAGTACCAATTAGAGATGTTTTTGTTTTGAAATGTGTTCTTGCGTTAGTATCTTTGATCATCAATTGCTGTTGCCGAATTCGATCGCCTCTATCGACTCAATTCCTGGTGCTTATTCCGATGGCATTTAGATACTGAACCAACACCCCCGCACACCTGCTCAGGATTCCCCTGCTCAACGCCCTCCTTCGAAGGAACGAAGCAGCCAACGAAGCAGCCAGCCAGCCAGCCAGCCAGCCAGCCAGCCAGCCTGTCAGCGCACAAATGGCGCCACAAATGTTTTGCCCTTTTTGCCCAATGGAAGGATACATTTGTAACTTCTATTGATTTTTAATGCACGCTTCTGCTGTCCTCCCTCGTTCAGCTCCGTTCCGTTCCGTTCTGTTCTGTTCTGTTGGCTGCCAAGGCGTCGTCCGTGCTCAGGACAAGCCACCAAGCCATGAACTTTATGGGGAGGCCACGGAGACCCCAGACCTCAGACCCCAGATCCTAGACTCTGTCTCAGACTTAACCCCTTCATGGGGATGTGGGTGATGGTGCCAGTGCCGGTGCCGGTAAATGTGGGTGTGTGCCTGCGAATTTTAATGCTTGTAGCAAGGAAACAAACAAATATGTTACAGTCGAGGGAGCTGTCCGCAAATCCGCCATCCTTGGCGATGGCAATGCCACTGCTCCACTTGATAGCTTAATGCCCTACGCATGCTTCCACATACACACACACATACAGTACTAGACACATACTCGATTGCCCATCAACAAAAACAAACAAATGGACACACACATGGACAGATAGACTGACAATAAACAAGAGGGGCGAGCAACGAGCCGAAGGAGGACTCTGCATATTGGAGATGGCCGCGTGAGGTTTGAGAGCTAATTTTGAGAAACGTATGATCTTTTCGCGAAAAATATGATCCTTTAAAGCGCGGCAGGCGGTGCAACCGGTTCACAAATGATTTCCTACGTTTGTGTTCAGAGCGTGTTCTACTTACGGTTCGAGAAGGCGCTCAGGGGCCGCGTTAGGAGCGTCAGCATCAGGAGGAGCAGCATCACTAGCTCCATTGGCGGCGACTGTACCTGCTGCAGTTTATTCTTTTGTTGATGCGGCTCCTGCCGAGGATGGCAAACGCCTTGTTGACTATTCAGATGCAGCGGCATTTTAAATGGATTACTTGACAAGCTGATCGGCGCTCCCCTATTGGTAATCGCTTGCTTGTCCTCAATCGCCTAGCGTCTGTCGCCCTGGAATTGCTGCAATGGGTAGAGTAGGTGGTGTTTTTAGCAATATTTATAGACAAACCCGATTTGTTTGGATAACAAATCAGTGCAGTGTGCACAACAGGAAAAAAGAAAAAAAAAAAAAAATAACTCATTCCAAGTAAAATTTACATTTAAATCAGACAATCGACACATTCGAGCGGCAGCGGCAGCGGCAGCAGCAACAACACAGTTTTAAGTACATAATAAATGTTTACACGTCCGTTGTATTGACATGACAAATTTATTTGTCAGAATCCAGGGTGTGAAAGAGGCAGAGATGGCGGGGACATGGATATGGATACTGAAGCGAGATGGCAATGGAGGGTTTCATCAAAGTTTCATTGCCTCCCGCTGCCGCTGCCACTGCCACTGCCACTGCCACCGCAGCTTCCGATGCCAATGGCAAATTTTTCGGCCTCGACTGCATTAAGAATTTCGTGTGGCATACTTTGCAGCGCCGTCTCGTTTTACGACCTGCCACACACACACACACACTGCTCTCGTACACCCGTCAACTTATGCCGAAAAAGTTTTCAACGTGCCAGCATCACAGCCACTACGTGTGACAACGATGCCGACAATGACAGCCACAAAAACTCACTTTCTCTCACTCCCGGCAGGGCCACAGACCGGGAGAAAGTCTCTCCTTTTGCCCCTCAGAAATCGGGGTACATTACGGTAGATTTGTCAGGCATAAATTGCATTAATCAGTTTGCGGCTCTCTTACACAACGAAGTCAACTTTACGGAGGGGAAATTACAATGAAATCACGATTGTTTCATCTTAAAAGTACGAGAATAATACAATATATGTATCTTTGAATGAAAACTTCTCAACAAGTTTTAATAGATGCATTATTATTTAAGAGGTGTATCATTTTTCAGGTACTTGGTGTTACCCAAAGACTTAGCTCAAATAAAACATTTCTCTTTTTTATTTATCTTTCTACTTATAAAGCAAACGAGTCTTATTCAGGTCACTTACATCATTATAATTAATTAAGGCATTTTTTAAAGGCTGTTTTACGCACGGAACTCTTTAAGGAACACGTCTTTCGGACAAGAAAAATAAAAGCATAAACAATTTCGATGAGACCCATACAATCAGCAACTAAGGTTTCTCCAAAAATATCTTGATCTTGAGATAAGAGACCATACATAGGAACTAGCCGAAGATGTAGAGTGTTTGGTCTCTGTAATTAAACTATTAATCAGATGTGGTATACTTTTTCACATGAATGCGCGACCACCATTCCGATCCAAAAGTTGAATCATTTTGTTAGGGATCGACGGGGTCCTACTCTACTCGCAATCCGTCTACTTGGGGCACAAGTTAAGCAATCCTCGAGGCATTAACTCTGTCCACCGCTACCGCCGCTACCTCTACCGCTACCCTTGCGGTTGGTTAGACCAAATTGAAAACGAATTAGAAGGAAACTTCCAGCGCTTTACGCCAAAAGTTTTCGCCCTGTGCCACACGGAAAAATACTTTTGGAAAGTACTTAAATATTTTCAAAGGAAAACTTGGATATTTTCCTTGTTGTTTGTGTTCTTTGCTTCTGATTGTGTTTTATCTCTGTCATAGAGAATGCAATTTCCATTTTGATAAGTTCGTTTCTAAGTCGTGAAACGCTGCAATTTGGGGCTAATGTGCTTTCCAGTAAAAGTGTCTGTCTAACAGTGTCTGATACTTTAACCCCGTTTGCTGAATTCAATTGTTGAAACATATTTCTATTTCGTATTACTTTTTAGCTCACTTTTCAATCAAATGTTGGGCGAATAAAGACCGATTCAGCTGAATATAAAAAGTATATACTTAAAGGATATATGTAAATGTGTAAAGTTCCTTAAAGGCATGTTAACCAAGAATCCTATAAAGGTAAAAGCTCAAGCTCATATCTTTCACATCATCTGTAAAGTACGTATGCAATATCACCTGCTATAATAAAGCCCATATAATAAAACCATAATATGGGGCTCGTAGAAAAATGGTATTACGAAATACATACAGACATCTTAATACCCAATGAACATTTTTGAAAATTTCGGAACAAGATATTGTCTGGCCTGCAGATAGAAAACTTTTAGATTGAATGACAAACTTTTCACCATTCTATGATGTACTTCAGTCATCGCAATTGAGCGAGTATGTGTATTGATATTGCTGACCCTTGATGGGAAAATTCATCTGTCGATAGAGTTCCTGAAGTCGGGTCATTTCGTTTGAATTTGGTATGAAGTTTTTCTAAAATTATCTTTGATCTACAAACAATATGTGGAAATGCATTGAGTTTTTAGTCTTTCGTCTCGATTTCGGGGGCGTGTGAAATTTTCAATGTCCGACTGACTCCACATGGATGGAAGGCGCAGGTGTCGCTACTGTGGAACATAATTATTTTTGATGAGATAATGATGTTGAAGGGCAGTGAATTGGCGCTGATAATGCAGACTTTTATATTGATATCACGAACTGCACTAAATCATCAGTTAAGTGATTTTATTATGCCATTTTGGGAATGGTTGGTCTCTTACGAGGCACGGCACAGCCTCTTACGAACATCAGAATATGGAGTTTTGAAGGGCAATGTGTCGGCAGCACCTGAGGCCATTTTATCGAGGCCTCAGGATATGTACTAACTGTAATGGAGATGTACCAGCAAGAGCAGAGCAAAACTTTAAGTCGCGCGACTTGCGACGGAAATGCAACACTTTTCGCTTACACATCCGTTTTGCAAATTTTTGTTTGTTTTGGTTATTTTTGTTCGTGTTTTTCTTGTTCGTCGTCTACTTTATGCACTGTTTGAACAACTAGAAAAAAAGGAGCAAAAAAACGGAAGGAGAGTGGCAGTGGGACCGGGGAACACAGGAATTACCAACATCAACACAAACACAAAGAAAGCGCCAGCCGGATTTATAATGGAGAACTAACAGCTTACGAATCGCGCGCGACTTTTGTCGTTGGCGTTTTTTTTTTTTTGGTTCTGTTTTTGTTTTCGCCTCCTTTCTTCCTTCGCGTTGGTTTTGTTTTTGCGCGCGCTTTTTCAAACGACGCGTCTTGCGGTGAGTGCCTCGGTGCCGTCTGTGGTGCGGTCTCCGCTTTGCCCAGAGAGTTGTGCGCGTCCTACGCCAGCCGAACGCAGAATGCTGGTGGCGGCGGGCCAAGCAACGGCTTTTATACGCGAACAAAGGGGCTTCGGCTCCAGTTGGGGACTCGGCTCAGCACTCGTTTAGCATATGTCCGATGCCATCGACACACAGGCGGCATCAATGGAATGGCGTGTATCCGTTGGAAGTATATTGAGATAAGGTCGGACAGTCCCTTATAAGGCAGCCAAGCTCGGATAAGTTTTCGAACAATGCTCGGATGCCTCACCTTCAGTTCAATATACCCTTGGCGTCTGAGCGTGTGAGCGGGTGTGGTATTCGGAGTGGGTATGCGAGAGTGTGCTGGCATATTTGCTTTATGAATGTGTTTACCCGAAAACTTTAGCGGGAGGGAGGGAGATGCTGCGTGCGAAAGTGCCAACACTCGCATTAATGACAGCAACAACTTCAACTGCGACTACAACAGCCACCGCCACAGCCACAGCCACAGCAATGCCTACAATTTGAATTGTAAGCCAGCCAACAGCTCAATTAACTGTCTGTCCGGTTGGGAATGGGAATGGGGGTGGTGTTGGGTGTGGTGTTGGGGGTGGTGTTGGGGGCTTCCTCTACAGTGCGCCCCGAGTGCCCCTGTGTGTGTTCGTGTTTGACTTTCTCATACGCATAATATCCATTATTTTGGCAATTACAAGGATATAACGGCAATTGCATATGCTTAATATTATTTAAACCGTAAGTGTGGCATGTCTCTTGCCATCCCCGTCAACCCTGCCCATACTCGCATTCGCATTCGAACTCGTCCTTTCCCCCCACTGCGTGTCAGGTAAATGCAAATATGAAAAATGCATTGCAATGCTTGCATTGTCAGTGCCTCAATTATTCATGCAACCCTGCAAATTCCTGTGTACATGTCAGTGTCTGTGCCACTGCGTTGGTGTGTGCTCTTGTAAAATACTCGTGAAATGAGCAGCAGGTAATTTACATGTAAACAGGTTAAGGGATAAAGTTCATCACATGTAAATGGATATGTCTGATTAATGGCAAACATAAACGGTAGAAACAAACCCCAATGCTCATACATACATATGTACATTTGTATGTGCATACACACACATACATATATGATTGTGTATTCCTGAGAGCAGGTCGGTAATTCCAAGGCACGGAACACCTCTTACAGAGGGCATTATTAACTTGCAACACATGCATATGCACATACAGATATAGCATATTTATTTTATTGAATTATTTCAGCTAAAAGAATCACGCCTGAAGGTGGTCTGGCTAGTCTTCGTGTTTCCATACGTGCACTCTATATAATTTAGAAGTACAAGTAATTACACCATGTAGCAGCCAGAACGAGTCACAACGGGACGCTGTGTACAATACCTGGTAATCAGTCAGTATACATACATTCCTACATATGTATGTATGTATGTATATACAGAAAGGTAATCTTATGATTTATTAACTTACACAATATATTTTATACGTAATCCCACGTAAATGCCGATATTTGTTTCGTAGTCGATGACTCATTCTATCTCTCTCTCTCTCTCTCTCCCTCTGGCTTTTCCTTTCGCAGTTTGCAAAGGGCCAAATTGATTAGTGGGTTAATGCGGGAAGGGGGGTTGATTGTGGTAGGACAAGGACAAAGCAGACTCTACTTCTTGCATTTGTCATCAGACATTTGTCGCAAATGCATTACCTTGCATATTGCTCCGGGCAAAATGCGATTCAATTAGTCTATTCCAATTATGGAAGGACCCTTCCAAATAGACACCTATATCAATTCATCAGAATGCCTCTTAGACAAACGAAAACTCCAGAAACCATGGATCTGATGATACCTGATAACCGATAAGTGGAAGTCACATGTTCTAGACGACCAGTCTAGTCGAATCCCATCTACTTGAACTTTCAACACAGCTGCGAAAAGCTGCTCTCACTATCAATCAGTCATTTTTGTCTCATAAAGTTGGATTATTTGGGCTACAAAAAATAAATGGGGTACTCTTCAGGTGCATCCCGATAAAGTTCATGCAGTTGCAGATCACGCTAGCCTTCGCTGGTTTATGGACCAATCTAATCTAAGTCGTAAGACGCTTAGTCTTCAGGGTAGTGTTTCAATATATAACTCAAAATGTTGTAGCGGATGCCCTAACCCGTTCCTTTTGCCAGAGAAGGATCTTCATTCGGAGGCCCTTTAGTTACGTCTTCTATGAGATAAAATAAACGCTTGTAATATACATATATCGATACGTATTTGAAAATATCAAGGTGAATATATATAATATTTCGTGCAGATTTTGTTAATGTCAGCTCGGACCAAATTGCTTGCCAAATAGCGTGATCAGGTCAGTCCACGATCAGCCAAACTCTGCGCATCGTGGATTCAGGAAATGCGTGGATCGAATTCGGCGTCTCACAGTGAGGCCTTCGCCCATTTCAGCTTGCTAAATTAAAGTTCTGCGCGAAATACAAAATGTAGATATCTTCATGAAATAAACATTACTTAAAAGGAAAATCTTTCAAAATTAGGCCTGCACAATTACACGCTGAAAAGTTGAACTTTATTCCGGAGCATATTTGCCTGTATAAAAAGTTTTTTTGTAATTTAATAGGTAATCGAATCTAATAAAAAAAAAAAAAAAACAATTCATATTATAAACCTTTGTCTATTTTTGTATTTTTGTAAAATATTTGTTATTATTATTGTAAGAGATGGAGAGAGATAACTAACTAAGGTGGTTTAGAGCTGGCTGCAGGGCCTTGGCCTTGGGCTATGTTGTTGGACATTGCTATTGATGGTGGTGGTGTATTGACAAATGTTGTGAATTAACCTAATAATAACTAGTTGATTGAGTAGTTTATACATTTATTGGATACATGGCTTTGGCTATCTTATTATGCATTATTGTATTTAAAGGAGCTTTTAGAGTTTGTGGTACATGTTGGATATTTTAAGGAAGAGTACGATTTTTTGTATGTTGTTTGGGTTAAGGTTTTTAAGGAGATCTGTCGGGTGAGAGCTGGACATGAATTAAGTAGGTAGCGTTGTTATTTTGGCGAAAAGAGCAGGATGGTGGTTGGTTACGGTTAAGCTAATGTTGAATAAGCCGAAGTTAATTTTTAACTGATCCAGCCTGCTAAACTTTTGGTGGCAGGAGCCAAAGTAATTTTTGTAAAATAGTCATCCACATTTCAAGTATTATCCAACAAATTAAATGTCTTTAAAGAATAACTATTTGTGGATTTTTTGTACATTAAATTTCCAGTAGATACAATATATGGATGTACGGATGTAGTATATGGATCTAACTTTTCCGTTATTTTCTCGAGATATTTTTTGTACCTGCTCTTTGAATATTCCTTTACCTACGGTTGAAAGGGCGTTTTGTGCTTCTTAACCATTTGGCTTTTGAATCGATTTAACTAACGAAACGTCACACGAAAATTGGTCAATACATGATTTGGTTTGGCGGGTTTTTTTGGCCGTTTGTCTTGCGAGGTTGTCAATTAAGCGGTTCCGATTTTGAAAGCTCTTCAAAATTCTCCATCAGATGCGTATATTCATATTATCCAAGGCGTTCAACAAATTCTTTGATTTTTGCCACCTTTTTTCGGCTCAGGCCCTACTGTCCTCCGACTCAATGACACACAAAATTAAACACCAAAAATATTTCTATTGCTATTTGTTGTTTGTTGCTGAAGTCCTTGAATCGGAATTCAGAATATTTGGAATAAAAACGATTAATTTGTAAAAAAAAATAATTCCTACCAATTAAATATTTAAACCAGATTTAAGACTGTTCATATCCAGAGAAGAATGGAGATAAACCATTAAACACATGAATACACCCTGTACAAAAAAGTCAACTTTTTGTTTTTTTTTTTTTTTTCCTTTCCAGACAAGCGATCAATGGATCCAAATCACATTCAATTCATTTGCCATCTGTGCCTACTCATGGCCTTGTAGATGCAGTGCCCCACTGCACAAGGGCTGTGCCGTGCCACCAAGTGTTCCACACCTCTGCTTGCCACGAGGTGCTTTTTCTGCTACGCTTGTAGAAGTCTTCTACCTCATCTGGATGGAATACGACTTGGAGGAGAGGCAGCAGTCAATTGAAAAATTGGATGCTGCGCTTTCTCGAAAGCGGGTCGTCCCAATACACCAAATCGTAGAAGCATCGACAGCTCGTGGGTCTATTGCGAGGCATTCCCAAGCTACCATCTACACTTCGCACTTCGGACAGCTCAAGTGACAGACCTCAAAGCTGTTCCTGTAGGGTCTTCAGCGAGGCCTTTATAAAAAGTCGCAGCTACAGATCTTGGGACAGGTAACTCCAGTGTCCTGCCCTTGCAGCGCGCGATCCTACCCAGCGAATCTGAGTCCCAACCACATGAATATGCAATTACTTACTCGTCCATAACGTTATTTATACAAAAGATTCATTAATAAAGGCACATTATAAGTAATGGTATCAGAAGCTTACTTCGCGAATGGACCAATAGATTCTTTGGAGTTAAAATTACATGCTCATTTGAGTGTGGTAAAGACTAATATGTCTCTTCAGCACAGTAGCAAGGGTGAAAGACATGTCACAAGTTGGGCAGACAAACGCCGCCTGCCTTGTATGGGTTCTGCAAGATACAACAAACTCAGTACTAGCCTCCAATCGTTTCGAACTCTTACCTCTCATGACGGATGGTGTTTCCCTTAGTTGAAAACGCTCGGTCACAGTATGAACACTTGCATGATGTCTCCGCCGTGTGCGATCGCATGTGGCAACTGAGCGCAAGGGGGCTTACAAAGGTTTGCTCGCAAAATCTAGAGGAAATCGTTGATCGATCATTATATGAAATTGAATAAACAGCATTCGAATTTCAGTTCATACGTACTTGCATTTGAGCTTATTCATTGTGCAGCTTCGTCGCTGGAGGATTTTCTTGGGCAAAAGATGGCGTTTGTCAGATTGAGCGGCATTTTTGGAGGTTAGACGAGTGG